GGAGTTTTTCCTAGCCACCGTGCTTCTACACCTGCATTACTAGCTGTTTGGGGTTTTAGGCTGGGTTTCTGTACAGCACTTCGAGATATTAGCTGATGTACGAAGGGCTATATAAAATAAAATTGATTGAAATTGATGTAGATATTCCATAAAAAATCAGCCATTTCCAGCTACAATAGCCATTTACAACATTAACAATGTCTACACTGTATTTCTGATCAATTTGATGTTATTTTAATGGTCAAAAAAATTGCTTTTCTTTCAAAAACAAGGGCATTTCTATGTGACCCAAAACTTTTGAACGGTAGTGTATGTGGAAGGCTCATGGGAGTCACCTCTAATGGCGCGTTCGCCGGTTAGAGCATATCTCCCGTTTACCAGAGTGGACGGTAGACAGCAGGGTATTTCCCAGGGAATCCCCAGACTTGAGAGGGCCATGGCTGCGTATCTCGTTCCGGGTTCGAGTTCCTGGCCCTCCTTTAAGAAGGCCACTCTGCCAACACTCAAGGACCGATTCAGAGCACAGCTGGTAGAGAAGTCCTTTGTGTTGGGAGCCCAGGCTGTAGCAGCAGCAAACAATATTGCCCTCCTCGCAGCCTCTTTGTACCGTCTCATCATGGGTAGGTCAGCGCTCACAGGAAAGGAGATCGAAGAGGCGTCGAGAATTTCCGGCGCCATACTTCATCTCACACAGGCGTTGGCTAAATGTGCGGGGAGGTCCATGGCCACTTCGGTGGTCGCGGAGCGACACCTCCGGGTGTCCTTGACGGCCATGAAGGAAACCGACAAAACCGCGCTTTAGAACACCCCCATTTCTGACGGCGGTCTTTTTGGGGTCGCCGTCAAGGAACCGACGGAGCGTTTTGGCAAGTTGGATGAAGAAAAGAAGCAGCTCTCTAGAACCTGCAGTTCCCTGCCCAGACCACCATACAAACCTACCGCCTTCAGCAGACCCGGCTCTATTGCTCGGCGTCGTGCCCGGCGCCAGACGGCAGCCTCCAGCAGCACGGGAGCGGGCCACGTCCCCCCTGCAGCGCCGGAGATACCAGCCGTCCCGCCGAGAAGAGAGGTCGTCAGCGCATCCACCTGGCATCACCCGAAGGGCGGCTAGAAGCGACGCCGCGTTTGACTGGACGCAGGGGAGAGAATGGAGGACGCCACAGTACCATGTTTAACTGTGCCCACTGTTCCCCACCCCATTGTTAAGGGGATAGCGGAGCCTATGTGTTGTTTGCTCGACTTTGCACACCGACCGTGGCCGAAAGTTCTCCTGTACGCATTTCCACCGCTGTCCTGCATTCTCCCACTACTAGCTTGGGTAAGGTCAGGCGGGCTGTCAATCATATTGATAGCTCCCGATCGCCCAGGGGCTCCATGGTTTGCGGAGATGATTCAGATGCTGGATTTGCCACCTTGGCCCATCCCACATCGATGGGACGCGTTGTCTCAGGCAAGAGGCCAACCCCTGATGGTCTGGTTCCTGAGAGGAACAGGTTAAAGCGCTGTGGGTTATCTGATGCAGTGATCAGAACCATACAGGGCTCACGTGCCAGTTCCACATCCAGGACTTATGCCAGTAAATGGAACGTGTTTTCACAGTGGTGTGTCACAGAGAATGTTGACCCCGTGTGCTGTCAGGTCGAGAGCGTCCTCTCATTCCTACAGTTTCTATTTGATAAGCAGCGCTTATCATTAAAGTGTTCGCGGCGGCGATTTCTGCTTGTCATGAGGGTTTTGGCAGAGACACCGTCTTCAGCCACCCACTAGTGAAACGCTTCCTATTGGGAACTTGGCGGCTTAGGCCAATGCCTAGAGCCACGCTCCCTCAGCTGGACTTTGCTTTGGTACTCGAAGCGCGTTGTAAGCCTCCATTCGAGCCATTGAACCAAATCCCCCTCAAAATGTTATCTTTGAAGATGGCACAGTTACTCGCTCTGACCATTGCTAAGTGTGTCAGTGATTTGTGCGCTCTTTAGAGGAGAACCGACTGCCTTGCCATTCATGTCGATCTGAGCAGGGCAGTGTTATGTCCTAACCCAGCATTTATGCCTAGGGTTATTAAGAGTTCATACAGATCACAGATTGTAGAGTACAGATCACAGATCGTCTCCCCCTCCACACGCTGAGAGGAGAGAAGAACAGCTCCATCGCCTGTGCCCATTGCACGCCTTGGCACGCTAAGTGGAGCGCACAGTGGCGATTAGGTCATGTGTCACGGTGCTGCGGCTCTCGGTAGACTCTAAACAGCGTCTGTCTCATTGGCTTTGTGATGGCATTGAGACGGCTTATGAGGTTGCAGGGCGTCCATTGCCTCTGGGTATAAGAGCCCACTCCACGCATGGAGTTGCGGCTTCTGCTGCCCTTTTCAGAGGAACAGGGGTAGAGGATATTTGCGTGGTGGTGTCCTGGTCGTCCCTTTTATCCCTTTAGATACATCTTCCAACTCTCTGGCTCAGTCCGTACTCAGCGTTGCTGATGGGAGGACTTGAACTAAAGGAGAAAGATGCTGGGTCAATGGGCACGTTCCCAAGAGGCCAGCTTTTTCTCTATTAGAGTGACATATGAGACATGACTCCTGACTGATGTTCAGTGCAGTAGAGTTAATGTATTTCTTAGCTGCCCACCAGTTTAAGACAGTGTTGGGGCGGAATGATGAGGGAAATAGTATTTGTAACCTTGTATTACATTACTATTATACAGCATTATTGCTGTCGGAGGGTTCAGTTCAGTATTTGCCCGTTTTATATACTCGTTTTTTACCCATCATACCTCAGATTGAATGTGGTGGATTACTGAATACACAGTATATGATAACACCTTGTGTTATATAACTGTTGTGTCCGTGATTGAGAGCACATCATATATTAACTGTGCATGTGCACATTCTGGGTTGATGTTTTTTGTTCCCTCTGCCCGCTACTATCTGGTTCTCCTTAGACTGAGTGAGGCGGATTGACTGATAAAACGGTCTAGGGCGACACCTTGTGTCACTTCACTGTAATATCAGTTGTTTTTTATTTTTATTTTATTTCACCTTTATTTAACCAGGTAAACCAGTTGAGAACAAGTTCTCATTTACAACTGCGACCTGGCCAAGATAAAGCAAAGCAGTGCGATTAAAAACAACAACACAGAGTTACATATGGGGTAAAACAAAACAAAGTTTTAAAAAATACAACAGAAATACATATATATACAGTGTGTGCAAATTTAGCACGTTATGGAGGTAAGGCAATAAAATAGGCTATAGTGCAAAATAATTACAATTAGTATTAACACTGTAATGATAGATGTGCAAGAGATTATGTGCAAATAGAGATACTGGGGTACAAATGAGCAAAATAAATAACAATATAGGGATGAGGTAGTTGGGCGGGCTAATTTCAGATGGGCTGTGTACAATATTTCAGATCACTGTGTGGGAATATTGGAACACAAACTGCCTGATGGTTCAGGTCAGTGTTGGTTCATGTCCTTTTCTCTGCCCGCTAGTTTTTGGATTATTCCTCATACTGGGTGAGGCGGATTTACTGATGACACGGTGAAGGACGACACCTGGTGTCGCATCACTGTTGAGTGTCAATTATTGAAGGGATATTGGAGCGGTAACTGTCTGCTTGTTCAGTTCAGTTGGGCTCTTGTATTTACTTTTCTGCCCACTAGTCTTCGGTTTCCTTAGACTAGGGGAGGCAGATTACTGGAGGCACAGTGTAGGGCGACTCCTTGTGTTGCAGCACTTTAGTACTATCGTTACCACCAGCCATCTGAAATGATTTTGGCTCACCTAATGATTGTGCTTGACTGAGTATGGATCAATCCCCAAAACGTTTATTCATGTTTTAGTCATTGTTCTCCTAGATGTGTGCTTCTACATTTCTAATTAGGAGCACATCGTGTAGGCCCTACTCCTTGTAAAAAAAAAAAAAAATCATCGTAGAGCCCTGAACCATACAAATAAATAAGCCGTATCACTCAGCATTTTGTGGAAGGTCAGGCACTTCGTTGATTATTGATGTTCAGTTGTAGAACTGTTTATCTGTTTATTATTGGATCTAAATGATTTATTTTAACACACATTGACGCAGGTAACAACAATTTAATTTAATTAAACAATAGACTCCATTACTTACTAGTAATACATCTCTGAGTGACTGCTACATTATTATTTTTTTCTCCCTGCCACATTGGCTGTTCGACCAAAAAAAATCAATTTCCCACCCTGCTTAGGAGATCTTATACGTTTTGTTCCATGCTATAATAGCAGTCAGTTAACATGACCTTTATGAATTATGAAGCCTTTGTGATTTAAGTGTTTTTATTATTACATAGGCTAAATTCTTCAAATTCACAAAAAATGACCACAGACCTTTTTTCGGCGTTTATCCAAAAACGCCATTCATTTTCCTCATAGGCTTTGTCCAACGAACCATGACCTACAAAAAGACGTCATTACTATTTCTCTCTATTGTTTGTAGCAGTAGCACTACCCCCGCTCCCCAACAATTCGTTGTTTACCAAAATATACTTTGCCCTACTCATCTGTGATATACTTTGAAAAAAACGCCTAGCTATGAACTCGCTGATTAATGTTACAAATAATTGTTTGGCTTTCCTCAAAAATTTAAATTGAGTGGGAGGTTATTTGATTGGCGTGACATTTCCCCCCCGAATTTGATCGACAGCAATATGATGCAATGACAACAGAGACAAGCACAACAAACCCAATCAAACGCGGTCCTTAGTATGGACTACTCTGATTGGTTTACTATCATATCCTAATTATGCACAGAAATGCAAGGCCAATGAGGGTTCATCTCTTTCAAGCAGTCACTTCTCAACGCCAATTATATGCGCCCTCACATTTCAATCTCCAATAGGATTTGAAGGCGGGATTAAATTGTAGTGTTTATATTCCGCAGTAGTTCCTTTGCCATCCATTAATTCTTTGAACCACAGCTTGTTAGTTTCTTCTGTACACCTGAGTCTTGAGAATCTACATCATGTCTGGAAGAGGCAAAACCGGAGGAAAGGCCCGCGCTAAGGCGAAGTCCCGTAGCTCCCGCGCTGGTCTTCAATTCCCCGTCGGTCGTGTTCACCGTCTGCTGAGGAAGGGCAACTACGCTCATAGAGTAGGCGCGGGTGCTCCCGTGTACATGGCTGCTGTCCTCGAGTACCTGACTGCTGAGATCCTGGAGTTGGCTGGCAACGCCGCTCGGGACAACAAGAAGTCCCGTATCATTCCCCGCCATCTGCAACTGGCGGTTCGTAACGACGAGGAGTTGAACAAACTACTCGGCGGTGTAACCATCGCCCAGGGAGGAGTGTTGCCCAACATCCAGGCGGTTTTGCTACCAAAGAAGACCGGGGCGGCCGCTGCACCAAGCGGGAAGGCGGGAAAGAAGGCTTCCTCACAGTCCCAAGAATATTAGATAACTATGTAACTAAACCGCCAACGAACTCTTACACCCAAAGGCCCTTTTAAGGGCCACCCATACATTCTGAAAAGGGTTACATTTCCATTCCTATTTTCCTTTGTTGAAAATGTGCTGTTTTTTTCGCGCTTAAAATTCTTATGTTGCAATAAATTCTTTTGATACATCTTGTGTTCTCCTGTTTTGTATGCAATCGAAGGCTAAACAAGTGTTGACTAACATCACTGTTTGAGAGGGCTAACCGAGTATTTGCGACAGGGTTGAACATGCTAATAGCAACTACGCTACTGTTGGGACATGGCTAACCAATATAGCAACCGTAGATCTCCAAAAGGACATGCCGTGGCGAATACCTTTAGTTTGTCCAGACCACAAACCAACTAGATGTTAAAGTATTTATGTACTGTGCGTATACATCTCATCGCTCCTTGGGAAATGTCGCTAACCCTGGATGTAAAAGGTTCGCGTGTAGTCACAACTAAACAAGCACTAATCTGGTGAAACAAAGGCGATGTGAGTTTGTATCCATGAAAGTGGTCAGGATCAACACTCCTGTAGCTGAATTATCAACTAGTAACAACCTCGTCGGTAGTGCGGCGCGATTACCCGACACTTGCTTTTAAACGGATAACTGACCGACATAGGTTCAATTTAATTCCATTTCGTATTTCTTCCTGTACGCTCATTGCGCAGTTTCTCTAGAGATTAATCAGGTCAAACCCGAACTGTGCGATGTAGGGAGTTGTAGTTTTCAACATGCCAATATTCTACATTGTAGTTACGTTTTCTGCGGTAAACTATGACCGTAATCCATTGCGAGAATACACGGTCTGTTTCTCTTTTACACATGCTACAGACATAATTCGCAATCGAGAAGGATATCGCTACCTGAAAATAAACGATCTAAGTGACAGTCAAAACTGCCGTATTTACTTTCAAGAACTAAAATAGCGATTGTCACAACATAGGCAGCAGCTCACTGAATGAAATGTCAAACATGAAATATTTGGTAAAGTAACGTGAATAAATAGTTAACTGATGAGCAGTCACTACCATCATGGGACTTTTATTGTTTTAGTCTGTAACAGCATTCAACCCGCATTTTATGTTTAAAAAAAATCAGCCCCTGCGATCATTTTTTAAATAATCGAAATGACCTCAAAAACCACTAATCGCTCAGTACTACTGGTCGGTATTTAAAGAGCTGAAGCAGATATGTGCTTTCTATGAGGCATTCATAACTCAATGTATACAAACATGGCACTATCGGTATGAGACATTTTCCAGTAAGAGTTGATAATTATATAGTCATTTGTGACAACATTCTCTTGCTGTCAATATATTTAAAAAAGGCCAAGGGCCTTGCCTGAGATGTGTCATATGGTTAAGTTGTAATAGTGCATGTGGAGTTGGTCAGTCCTACTCACATAAATCTGTGTGTGGTGTTGGTTTGGTACATTCCTAACCCTCAGCATCTATACAAATCTTCACCTAGTATTTACCCATTCTCAAGAGTAGTAGGTCATACATTAATAGGATCATATACATTTAGCTTATACAATAATACAACTGAGGTGAATCCATACATATGCAGAGTAAACATTATTCAAGGCCCTGCCCGACTTCTGCTGGTCTTGGATGCTGATGGCTTGCACAGTGTCTGGCAGCCGGTCACAATTTGCTCCCTACTCGTTCCCCTTGGCCGAAAGGTTAGAGAGCCAAAGGAAGGGGTAGGGAGCAAATTGTGACCCGCTGTAGGAGTGGAGAGAGGGCCTTAGCGGGCGTCGTTGAGTTTCCGAGCAGTGGTCAGGATCTCCATGGCTCCTTTGCTGAGCAGGAGATCGGCCAGGTCCACCCCCAGCTTCTCAGCTGCTACCTGGGCACACTGAGGCACATTGTGGGCTGTTACCCCAACATGCTGGATGTCTGCTGACTCCTCTACCTGAGAAGAGGAAAGTGGAGACAACCAATTAGATAAAATATCACATTCACTTTCTAGGAATACAATTAAACTAGCCAGGAATCTAAACTTTCACCACAATGTTGAAACTGAGCATATCAGTTTAGATTCCAGGACAATCGTAAGCATGACGACCATACAAAAACAGAAAATATCACATACAGTAAATAATACATTCGGAATATGGCAGTGAATACGGCATGACGGCCATATAAAAACAGGCCCTGTCCCCAACCTTATTGCCTGGGTCTACACTGGTCTCCATGGTCTCCTTCAAGCTATCAGCTCCATCCAGACTGTACACAGCACCTGTCAGAGAGAGCTGGAAGAGAAGAGAAGAGCATTTAAAACACATGAGCACACTCACTCTCATCAATTACAGAAAACTTAATTTCTACAGTTTAGGCTTCCTGGTTACTTGAAATAACCAGGAAGCCATTGGAAGTACAGCAAACTGCTTAGAGGTTACTCTGCTCAGCTCTATGGTTGGTGGTTTCTGCATCTATTCCCGATTCTGATTAGATGTCTAACTATTTCCTTACCACCGAGTCCTTCACTTCTGTGTTCACAGCAACTGGTACACTGCAACCTCCCTCCTGTGTACACAAAGGACCAAGCAGCAAGGGTCAGAGTGATAGTATAGGAGAAGGGTTTGTAATACTGATGCACACAAATTATGATCCATACACCAAAGAAATTGATTGTGTGAGGCTAGAAAGACATTATTTCTATAAGCAGCAGCTTTTAAACCGTAACTATTCTGCAGCTGCCAGCTGGTGTCCTGTATGTTTTTGTCAGGCGTGTGTATGGGGAAACGCATGGTTAACTTGCCAGGCGTCTGAGGAAGGCCCTCTCTGCGATGCAGCGCAGCACAGTCTCTGAGTGGTGCAGGGTAGACACCATCTGCAGGATGTCACAGTCTCGCGCCCGCACCTCCACGGCAAGGGCACCCTGGGGGATACAGACTCTTAAAGGCTCAGGGCAATCAAAAACGTGATTTTCCTATGTTTGTATACACACACACATATATAATATATATAATATATATAATATATATATATATATACACACACACACACATACATACGTACACACACACAGTGCATTCGGAAAGTATTCATACCCCTTCCCTTTTTCCACATTTGTTTACGTTACAGACTTATTCTAAAATGGATTAAATAAAACATTTTTCTCATCAACCTACACACAACACCCCATAATGACATAGCGAAAACAGGTTTTTAGAAATGTTAGCAAATGTATTAAAACTAAAAACTGTTTTTGCTTTGTCATTATGGGGTATTGTGAGTAGATTGATGAGGGGGGAAAAAAACTATCTAATCAATTTTAGAACAAGTCTGTAATGTAACAAAATGTGGAAAAAGTCAAAGGGTCTGAACACTTTCCGAATGCACTGTGTGTGTGTGTGTTTATATATATATATATACAGCACCCGTCAAAAGTTTGGACACACCTACTCATTCAAGGGTATTTCTTTATTTTTACTATTTTCTACATTGTAGAATATTAGTGAAGACATCAAAACTATGAAATAACACATATGGAATCATGTAGTAACCAAGGAAAGGAAGACCCAGAGTTACCTCTGCTGCAGAGGATAAGTTCATTAGAGTTACCAGCCTCAGAAATTGCAGCCCAAATAAATGCTTCAGAGTTCAAGTAACAGACACATCTCAACATAAACTGTTCAGAGGGGACTGGGTGAATCAGGCCTTCATGGTCGAATTGCTGCAAAGAAACCACTACTAAAGGACACCAATAATAAGAAGAGACTTGCTTGGGCCAAGAAACACAAGCAATGGTCATTAGACCGGTGAAAATCTATCCTTTTGTCTGATGAGTCCAAATTTGACATTTTTGGTTCCAACCGCCGTGTCTTTGTGAGACGCAGAGTAGGTGAACGGATGATCTCTGCATGTGTGGTTCCCACTGTGAAGCATGGAGGAGGGGGAGTGCTGGTGTGGGGGTACTTTGCTGGTGACATTGTCAGTGATTTATTTAGAATTCAAGGCACAATTACCCGACCTCAACCCAATTGAATTGTTTGGGATGAGTTGGACCGCAGAGTGAAGGAAAAGCAGCCAACAAGTGCTCAGCATATGTGGGAACTCCTTCAAGACTGTTGGAAAAGCATTCCAGGAGAAACTGGTTGAGAGAATGCCAAGAGTGTGCAAAGCTTTCATCAAGGCAAAGGGTGGCTACTTTGAAGAATATAAAATATATTTTGATTTGTTTAACACTTTTTTGGTTACTACATGATTCCAAATGTGTTATTTCATAGTTGTGATGTCTTCACTATTATTCTACAATGTAGAAAATAGTAAAAATAAAGAAAAACCCTTGAATGAGTAGGTGTGTCCAAACTTTTGACTGGTACTGTATATAGCTGTCTAAAACTGAGAAGTTTTGAAAAACAGAGGTACATTTTTTATCTTTTTACCTTTCTAACGCTCATCCCCCTGGGACGAGCCCAACCAAAACAAAACTAATCTCCAATATGGCAAAACGTGCCAGAGGACATTTCTCCAAAAAGTACGATATTTGTCCCCATGTGCAGTTGCAAACCGTAGTCTGTCTTTTTTAATGGCGGTTTTGGAGCAGTGACTTCTTCCTTGCTGAGCGGCCTTTCAGGTTATGTCGATATAGGACTTGTTTTTACGGTGGATATAGATACTTTTGTACCTGTTTCCTCCAGCATCTTCACAAGGTCCTTTGCTGTTGTTCTGGGTTTGATTTGCACTTTTCGCACCAAAGTACGTTCATCTCTAGGAGACAGAACGCGTCTCCTTCCTGAGCGGTATGACGGCTGCGTGGTCCCATGGTGTTTATACTTGCGTACTATTGTTTGTACAGTTGAACGTGGTACCTTCAGCCGTTTGGAAATTGCTCCCAAGGATGAACCAGACTTCTGGAGGTCTACAATTATTTTTCTGAGGTCTTGGCTGATTTCTTTTGATTTTCCTATGATGTCAAGCAAAGAGGCACTGAGTTTGAAGGTAGGCCTTGAAATACATCCACAGGTACACCTCCAATTGACTCAAATGATGTCAATTAGCCTATCAGAAGCTTCTAAAGCCATGACATCATTTTCTGGAATTTTCCAAGCTGTTTAAAGGCACAGTCAACTTAGTGTATGTAAACTTCTGACCCACTGGAATTGTGATACAGTGAATTATAAGTGAAATAATCTGTCTGTAAATAATTGTTGGAAAAATTACTTGTGTCATGCACAAAGTAGATGAACTAACCGACTTGCCAAAACTATAGTTTATTAACAACAAATTTGTGGAGTGGTTGAAAAACAAGTTTTAATGACTCCAACCTAAGTGTATGTAAACTACCGACTTCAACTGTGTGTGTGTATATATATATATATATATACATACACACATATACTTTTCCCCCCTCACTGTATGTATGTATGTATGTATATATATATATATATATATATATATATGAAGACACACGCACACTCAGTGGCCACTTTATTAGGTGCGAAAATGGTTCGCTCCTACAGACATTGAGTCACGTGGCCTTGACTTGCTATATAAAGCAGGCAGACAGGCAGAGGCATTCAGCTACTGTTTGATTGAAGGTTAGAATGGACAAAATGAGTGCCCTACGCGACTTTGAGTGTGGTATGATTGTCGGTGCCAGGCGCGCCGGTTCCAGTATCTCAGAAACGGCCAGCCTCCTGGGCTTTTCACACACACACGAGTGTCTAGGGTTTTCCCGAGAATGGTGCGACAAACAAAAAACATCCAGTCAGCGGCAGGTCGAAGGAGAATGGCAAGAATTGTGCAAGCTAACAGGCGGGTCACAAACAGGCAAATAATGGCGCAGTACAAGTGGTGTGCAGAACGGCACAACTCGTCAGTCCTTGTCACAGATGGGCTATTGCATGGCCCCATCCTGCCAGGTGTCAACAGTACAGGTTGGTGGCGGTGGTGTAATGGTGTGGGGAATGTTTTCCTGGCACATGCCCTGAAGAATTCAGGCTGATCTGGAGGCAAATGGGGGTCCGACCTGGTACTAGATGGGTGTGCCTAATAAACTGGCCACTGAGTGTATATTTCCACATTGAGGTTGGAATAATACTGTGAAATTGTAAAAATGCCCTTTCAGTAAATTAGTTAATAAACCAATAAGAAAGAGTTCCAAAGCTCTCTGCCAATAACAGCTAGTTTTCAATTTTCCCCTCCCCACTCAGACCACTTCCAGACAGTCCTAACATAATTCTTTCTTGAGAAATGTCTCTGCTAAGAAGCTATTTTTATTAATTTTTATTGAAAACAAATCACAGTAAGTTACTTTATTGTTACCTACAAATGATTTAATATAGAGATAAAAACAGCTGTTTTGGACCTTTAACTATCATCAAAGGATTCATATGCCTTTGGTCATCCAAGATTAAATATTTTACAATGAATCTACACCAACATGCAGAACGGATGTGCACGGTGTGGCACTTATGGTGTAACGGTTATAGCGGCTGGCAGCCCAGGTGCTTCCTGTAAATATACACAATAGCACAAAACATGTACCCACCTGGCCAACAGCATACATACAGTCCTCAGGGCCAAGAACCTGTAGAGACAAACCCAACAAACATTTAATTTCTACAGCAGCTACAATAGCTACCAAGAGACATACGACACAACAAAATTATCAAATAATTTTTCCTAGCATATTGATCAACTTAAGGAAAGGGGGATACCTAGTCAATTTATAGGTATGCACTGTGCAATTGTATTGTTTTGTGAAAAGTTTTGTCTTGTGGGCTAGGCACACCAGAGATGTTTGGGGAGGCTGGTAGCTGGGTGTACTGTACCTGGCTGACTCGTGCCTCCCACCCCATCCTCTTCAGCCCTGCTGCCGCCAGGATGATGGCAGCATAGTCCTCCTTCTCATCCAGCTTCTTCAGACGAGTGTTGAGGTTACCTCGCTATAGTGCTCAGGTTAAGGAACAATTACTAGGGGAGACAGGGCAATTGTAACACCTTGAATTTCACCAAACAGAAACTAGCTAGAGTGATTAAACACACAGTACATGCCCAATTAGGTTTCCTCCCTGCTTGAAAAGTTAAAGCCAAATATCTCACGTTTTATGGGCAATTTCTTTTTTTTAGGGGTGAAAGTAGTATTTTAAAAAATTGGCTGTATTTTTCTTACACTGCCCTGAGCAATAATGTCCAATAAAATCCAACTACCATAATTTATGCACTATATGTTTGCTAAACATTGACATGAATGACGTGTGTCACTATTCAAGATGGCGCTGACAGACATGGAAGCTCTGCTTCTAGCTTCTAAGCAACTTTGCAGTATTTCGTTTTTTTGTGTCTTATTTCTTACATAAACATTTTCACAAGCATTTCGCTACACCCGCAATAACACCTGCTAAATATGTGTATGTGACCAATAAAATGTGATTTGTTGTCTGACCCATGGGGCGGCGCACAATTGGCCTAGCGTCGTCCAGGGTAGGGGAGGGAATGGCCGGCAGGGATGTAGCTCAGTTGGTAGAGCATGGTGTTTGCAACGCCAGGGTTGTGGGTTTGATTCCCACGGGGGGCCAGTATAAAAAAATAATGTATGCACTCACTAACTGTAAGTCGCTCTGGATAAGAGCGTCTGCTAAATGACTAAAATGTAAATGTTGTCTCTTGCTAGGCACATGAGGTTGTGTCATGGCTGCTGGGTTTGGGGCAATTGTAACACAGTTAAAATGACCCTGAGCCAAGCAGCCAAATGATGAAAACAAGTGATTTTAACTTTAAGATTGTATGAATTATACATTAATTGTACAAATAATAACTGTAAATAGCCTTGGGGTCCTGTAAAGTGCCAAATAAATTGTAAACGGATATAATCTCGGCACCATCGACTATTCAGATGTTTTGAGAGGAACCGAATGGCCATGTAATTATTGGTTACGTACATAGAAATAGTCATATTTCTTGCAAAATCATTACATATGTCTATGATATAATTATTCATAAACATTACTTTTTTAAATTAAGGTACATTTATTTGGTTGATTTTGTAGGTGTTACATTTGACCCCAGCTACTGTTACAATTGCCCCTGGCATGGGCGACTTTTCAGATTAAAATCAATATTGTGTTCCGACTGTCTTATGTACAGACATATAAGAAACCTGAATGCCTGGCCTAGTTAAAGTGTTCTCTGAGCAATAGAGTAGGACAAAAACTGTTACAATTGCCTCCAGTCTCCCCTACAATAAATAGCTAAATGCATGAATACTGACAGCAACGAGACAGACAGTAAATCATAGCAGTTCTGCATTAGAAAACGATACAATGTCTTTAAACTCCAGGTGAGGAAACCTCTTCTTCAGCTGAGCAGCCCGACGCAGAGAGCTAGTACCAATCACACTGTGAGAACAGAACAGACATCAGTGGAGTTTGGTTTGAAAATCATCCATTGAAGTATTCTCTCAAAAGGATCAAATATAGATATCCACATTGACCATTGTAACAGTCATGCCATGTCCTCGTCTTAAAGATGGATGAAGATTTTATAGGCTGTGTGATGTGCCAAGTTTACCACAGAACACTGAGAATTGGACTCCATCATTCACTATTCTCCCTGGCACAGTGGCACACCTACCTGCCATCTGGCAAGGTGTCCAGGGTGAGCCCACTGTTCCTTGGATGTAGCACCACTGCATCATGTGGGCTTTCACGCCTTAGAGAAACATTGGAAAGGAAGAGAAAGCGTATACACAGAGAATCTTAGTATTCAAAAGGGATACCTTTTTTGCAGAAAAGACTCAATGAATGTGAAAACTAAAACTCATTTCCATAGATCAGTTCAAAATTGATTTGTATGAATGGACATTCATTGGAAGACATCAGCTTCCGGCTGTTGTTGTTGGTGCTATTCATCCCACAACACTGTCCAACTATAAGAAGAGTGTGGATGACAATGGACAGTGCTGATGATGTAGTAAGTAGGGTTTGTACTCACTGAAGCACTGCTCCTATAGTGAAGCCATTGGGCAGAGTTGTAGGGAGGTCTTTGAGAGAGTGCACTACTAGGTCTACCCTGTTAGAAAGAGAGATGCTGGTTATAGAGGAGTTGTACACTCCCAAGTTTTTGCATTAGCTCCGCAGCCTTGTCATTTCAAAACACAAAAATAAACCCCCATTTCACAATATAGTTATTACTGGTCCTCTGTAGCTCAGCTGGTAGAGCACGGCGCTTGTAACGCCAAGGTAGTGGGTTCGATCCCCGGGACCACCCATACACAAAAAAAATGTATGCACGCATGACTGTAAGTCGCTTTGGATAAAAGCGTCTGCTAAATGGCATATTATTATTTATTATTATTAATAAAGAACTGCGTTTAATTTTCCAACCTCTAAAGCACTCATATACAAGTAACTGACAAAATAAATTAAACACCAACATAGTGTCTTAATAGGGCGTTGGACCACCACGACCCGCCAGAACAGCTTCAATGCACCTTGGCATAGATTCTACAAGTGTCTTGAACTCTATTGGAGGGATGCGACACAATTCTTCCACGAGAAATTACATCATTTGGTGTTTTGTTGATGGTGGTGGAAAACGCTGTCTCAGGCACCGCTCCAGAATCTCCCATAAGTGTTCAATTGGGTTGAGATCTGGTGGTCTAGCCATGGTAGTCAAAATAATGGGCATTTTTATACATGACCCTAAGCATGATGGGATGTTTTGCTTAATTAACTCAGGAACCACACCTGTGTGGAAGCACCTGCTTTCAATATACTTTGTATTCCTCATTTACTCAAGGGTTTCCTTTATTTTGGCGTTTACCTGTATGCGTTCTTATGCAATGAAATTTGATACAGTTCGGAGTTCTGTCAACAGAGGGCGCTGTTTATCAGACTTGCTACTTGTCACCAGGAGAGTGTCACTCAAATCAATACTGTAACTACTTTCATTAACATTGTCCATACTTACTCATTCCTCTCCAGAGCATTCTCCAGCTCCTTTGTGAAAAGACTTTTCTCACCAATCTGAAACAACCAAGACACTTTGAGACGCTGAAGTAGACAGACATACCAGCCACGTTGCCATTCCACCAGCACTGATAAAGTTAATAAAAATAGCAATGGTTTGGCAATGATCTCAAACCTACAAATACATTTCAAGCATTATTTATTCAGAACAAACCTTTGATAATGCAGTGTCCAAGATTTTGTCGCCAATCGTGGACATGGCAACTGGAATGAATGTAAAAGTAGTGCATTACAATCATGACTATGAATGACAGTGGTAGTGAGGTCATCAGTTCCATTTCAGCAGATTCTCTTTAAAGACAGTCAGAGTAACAAAGCCGAAAGACAGTAAACTGTGTGTCAGTACAGTTGTATGCTTTACACCATCTTCTCCCAAACACAATCTACTATTTGTTCAGAAACTGAAAAGGCTGACAGAGGAGATAAATACAGAGAGAGTCTGGGAGTGAAAGAGAGAAAGCAGGAATGAAAGAGAGAGAGAGTCAGAGAGTGAAAGAGAGAAACGGGAGGGAAAGAGAGAGAGAGCGGGAGGAAGAGAGAGAAAGAGAGAGTGGGAGGGGGAGAGAGTGTGTATGGCTGTATGAGCGTTCTTGTATTACGCATCTCTACTTTTCTCACCTATTTCCAGATGGACATCTGGATAAAGTGCCTTCAGTTTCTCTGCCACATAGTCAGTCTGGATGCGAGCCAACTGAAATATAAAAATACATTATTTTATATTATTACATGCATTATGTAGATATGTAAGGAATGATGTGCCAGGTGCAACTGATTTATCATTGCTTTGTGCAGATGTGGGCACTTGGCAGAATGAACTTGCCTTGAAAAGGCTATGACATGGACATTAAAGTGAAAAATAAAGTGAAATTATAACATTGAACAGTGAACCAACATAATTTTGTATAAAAGATCTAATAATGAGAGAAAGAATAGCGGTTTTGCATTTGGTTAAGTTAGCGTGGGAGAGGTGGAAGAACTATCGTTATCCATCAATAATGATAAACCACCAGGTATAGGTATAGACAACCTAGATGGGAAACTATTGAGAATGGTAGCAGACTGCATTGCCACCCCTATTTGTCATATCTTTAACTACAGCCTAAAAGGAGTGCGTGTCCACAGGCGTGGAAGGAAGTTAAAGTAATTCCACCACCTAAAAAGAATAAAGCACCATTTGCTGGCTCTAACAGCCATCCAATCAGTTTGCTGACTATTCTTAGTAAATGCTATTTTTCAAAATAACAAGTTAACTACTGACCATTCAGTGACCACTCGTGTCCTGTGGATGGGGGCATTGTCATCCTATGGGGGCATAGCCATGGCAGCCAAAATAATGGCCTGCCCAACATTTTTATACATGACCCTAAGCATGATGCAATGTTAATTGCTTAATTAACTCAGGAACCACGCCTGTGTGGAAGCACCTGCTTTCAATATACTTTGCATCCCTCATTTACTCAAATGTTTGCATTATTTTGGCAGCTACCTGTAACTCTCCAACCATGTGATGGTAGGTGATGTAAACTGAGTTTTTTCAATAACAAATGATGATCAATAACATCAAAGGCTGCACTGAAATCTAACAATAAATCTCCAACTATCATCTTATTATCCATTACCTTTAGCCAATCATCAGTCATCTGAGTCAGTACAATACAAGGGTGAGATTCCACACCGGAGTAGGCAGAAAATATTTTTGGTATCTCAGATTGTTCTGGCAAGTCTCACATATAAACGTCATTGGGAGGAAGGATGTTTGACATGCTTTTTACATTTGTATCACAAAGATATTTATTTTTTAAAATCATGATGAAAGTGGCCATTTCAGGCCCTTTTTAGACATATACATGCCTCCTGTAAGATGTTATGATCTTTGAACCGTACATTAGACAGACAACATATTGGTCTCATTAGCCTCCTTATAATCTATAGCTTTAACATATGGAGTATATCTAGATTCTGAAATAAAAATGTTCACATTCATTCATTCAACATAAAAAATATTCATATGAATATCTCGAGTGTACACTTTTTGCTTTTGCTTTTTAGACATTATTTGGATCAATATACTCTTCAAACATGTCACATTTCCAGAGTGGGCTCTCTGCTAATTCTGAAGTTATGATGAATTATATGAGCAACACCAACACAGTAAATGGGTCAAGGGTGTGACCATTGAGCAAGTTGAGGAAGCTGAACTCCTAGGAGTAACATTGGATGGTCAGTTATCATGGTCAAGTAAGTCATATTGACAAAGCTGTATTAAAGATGTCTGTTATAAAAAGTTTCTGTGTTTTTGACAAAACTCGACTGTACTAGTTGTTCAGGCGCTAGTTTTGTCCGATCTTGATTACTGTCCGGTAATTTGGTCAGGTGCATCAAAGAATGACCTCGCAAAGCTGCAGCTGGCTCAAAACAGAGCAGCACGCCTTGCCCTTAACTGCACACACAGAACTAATATCAACAACATGCATGATAGTCTTTCCTGGTTGAAGAGAGATTGACTACTTCTCTTCTTGTCTTTTTAGGAAACATTTGTGTGCTGAAAATTCCTAACCACTTGTATGATCTACTTGCATACACTTCAGATAGACATACATATCCCACTAGACATGCCACTATGGGTTTCTTCACGGTACCCAAACAAAAAACTGATTTAAATGTGTCGATCAGTTATGTAGAGCAATGTCATCATGGAATGCTCTGCCACCAGAGGTTACTCAGGCAAAAAGCAAGTTTAGTAAAAACTTGCACCTCTCCTCTTTCTAAAGATCTAATTTAACTGTACTGTATATACAGTGGGGAGAACAAGTATTTGATACACTGCCGATTTTGCAGGTTATCCTACTTACAAAGCATGTAGAGGTCTGTAATTTTTATCATAGGTACACTTCAACTGTGAGACACGGAATCTAAAACAAAAATCCAGAAAATCACATTATGATTTTTAAGTAATGAATTTGCATGTTATTGCATGACATAAGTATTTGATCACCTACCAACCAGTAAGAATTCCGGCTCTCACAGACCTGTTAGTTTTTCTTTAAGAAGCCCTCCTGTTCTCCACTCATTACCTGTATTAACTGCACCTGTTTGAACTCGTTACCTGTATAAAAGCCACCTGTCCACACACTCAATCAAACAGACTCCAACCTCTCCACAATGGCCAAGACCAGAGAGCTGTGTAAGGACATCAGGGATAAAAATTGTAGACCTGCACAAGGCTGGGATGGGCTACAGGACAATAGGCAAGCAGCTTGGTGAGAAAGCAACAACTGTTGGCGCAATTATTAGAAAATGGAAGAAGTTCAAGATGATGGTCAATCACCCTCGGTCTGGGGCTCCATGCAAGATCTCACCTCGTGGGGCATCAACGATCATGAGGAAGGTGAGGGATCAGCCCTGAACTACACGGCAGGACCTGGTCAATGACCTGAAGAGAGCTGGGACCACAGTCTCAAAGAAAACCATTAGTAACACACTACGCCATCATGGATTAAAATCCTGCAGCGCATGCAAGGTCCCCCTGCTCAAGCCAGCGCATGTCCAGGCCCGTCTGAAGTTTGCCAATGACCATCTGGATGATCCAGAGGAGGAATGGGAGAAGGTCATGTGGTCTGATGAGACAAAAATAGAGCTTTTCGGTCTAAACTCCACTCGCCGTGTTTGGAGGAAGAAGAAGGATGAGTACAACCCCAAGAACACCATCCCAACCGTGAAGCATGGAGGTGGAAACATCATTCTTTGGGGATGCTTTTCTGCAAAGGGGACAGGACGACTGCACCGTATTGAGGGGAGGATGGATGGGGCCATGTATCACGAGATCTTGGCCAACAACCTCCTTCCCTCAGTAAGAACATTGAAGATGGGTCGTGGCTGGGTCTTCCAGCATGACAACGACCCGAAACACTCAGCCAGGGCAACTAAGGAGTGGCACCGTAAGAAGCATCTCAAGGTCCTGGAGTGGCCTAGCCAGTCTCCAGACCTGAACCCAATAGAAAATCTTTGGAGGGAGCTGAAAGTCCGTATTGCCCAGCGACAGCCCCGAAACCTGAAGGATCTGGAGAAGGTCTGTATGGAGGAGTGGGCCAAAATCCCTGCTGCAGTGTGTGCAAACCTGGTCAAGACCTACAGGAAACGTATGATCTCTGTAATTGCAAACAAAGGTTTCTGTACCAAATATTAAGCTCAGCTTTTCTGATGTATCAAATACTTATGTCATGCAATAAAATGCAAATTCATTACTTAAAAATCATACAATGTGATTTTCTGGATTTTTGATTCCGTCTCTCACAGTTGAAGTGTACCTATGATAAAAATTACAGACCTCTACATGCTTTGTAAGTAGGAAAACCTGCAAAATCGGCAGTGTATCAAATACTTGTTCTCCCCACTGTAAGTATGTGAATATGTATATATGAATAGTGTGTAAATAGTTTTTAAAAATGGTCTCTTGGTGCCTTGACAATATATTAATTTTAATGTAATAATATCTTATGCTGTTCTTGTCTATAATTGTTCTTTACCCTTTCATGTATTTTATGTGGACCCCAGGAAGCGTAACTGCTGCATGTGCAACAGCTAATGGGGATACTAATAAACGTCAAGTTAACCACAAATGTATGCATTGTCATGAGTTAAATAGCCTGTGCAGTATCTGTGACACATGGCCACAGACACTTGTGTGACTATCACAATGGTGACAGATCAGGGATAAGCTCTTATCAGATGAGTACACACAGACCCACCCTTTTCAAGATGACCTCCCTCCCTAACTTCCCAACTGAAAAATCCTTACTAATATGGAGGTTGAATACAGAGGCTTTTTGAGAATATATTTTACTATGATGACTGAATGATTTTAAGTCAACGTTTGATGACCAGAATTAGTGAACAGTAACATTAATGACATGAAGTTATCAAATATCCTACAGTAGATCATCTGAACAAGCTTGTGAATCAATTAATTATTTGATTTTAATTTAGTCACATGCACAGATGTAGTTGCTGTGTACAGTGAAATTCTTCAGCTCGGAGCGCCAACAGCGCAGGTGTGAATAAAAATTATTATAATAATATACATTTAAAACTAAATGAATGACTGAATAAATGAATTTACCTGGCTCTTCCTGGTCCCCATCCTTATGACCCGATTCACTGTTCCGTTTCCATCCTGTTAAAAAAGATAATAAAAACACATAAACTTCCTTATAAGCGATCTTCCTCATAACTCCAGCTTGTTAGGCAAGTACCAGGTTAAACCTTAATCACTCACTCTAACAGACTTATAAGGTCCTTCCTCCATTCTTTCGGCTGACTTAAAGGTGGATCTTCCTGGTAAGGGCGAAAGAAGACTAGAGCTCTTCCTCAGGCTCTACAATGAAGTGTCTGTGAGGAGTATGTGATGAGCACTGCTATGAGTGTCTTTGCCCTGTAGTGTCTTAAGACTACTGTATAGTGCCTCCACTCTCTGTCTCCTGGCATATGCTGAGAAATTGTGTCAGTTGTTGTGTGGGTGGGTGTGTGTGGTAAGCCTACACATTGACTTCATGCTGTATTTAGGGCTGAATTAAGAGTTTCGGCTATTCTTTTCACATTTCTTCCAATCATTGCCAGTGCATGTTCTGTGATTGTAACGCTTATCAATCCAATAATATAATACAATCGTACAAATTGAATAACAGAATATTATTTTAATGGCAAAAACAGAGATAAATAGAGAGATTTTGATATCGTTTTTCCAATTCTCTAGTTGATATTTTATTCGTTTGCAGAGAGTCTAAAAGCTAGGCCAAACCTATATGTCCAAACGGAAGGTTAATTTACAAATCTGTGCATAATGGCATGGTGTTTTATGTACAAATCCTATGAAGTAGCCTCGTAGGACTAGGCTTATCTTGTGAATTTAGCCTAATGCATGGATTGCATAAAGAAGGATTGCGCTACCCTGCCGGCTCACAGGCTGACCCCAAACTCCAGTGATGGACACCTTGCATAGCCACGGGGCAGGGGGCATGGGTAAAGACCCATCTGAGACAGCAATTTTACAGTCCATTGTTATAACCTATTACAGGTCTAGAAACTAGCCTCTCTATACGATGAACAAGTGGTAGCCTAAAATAGCGGTATAGCAGAGAGAAATGCATAGCCTATAACGGAGATGATACCCCTGTTTTGGGATAACCTATGCATCCTTCATTCCTCCCATCCTTGAAGACATCACCGATAGATGGATAGGTGAAAGGAGATTTTCCATCATAGACTACCAACCAAGTTATGTCAGATCAGTGATTATTTCTATAGCCTATGATCATTGATCATCACTTATCTAATACAGAAAGTATTCAAACCCATTCCCTTTTTCCACATTTTGTTACGTTACAGCTTTATTCTAAAATTGATTAAATTATTTGTTTTCCTCATCAATCTACACACAATACCCCATAATGACAAAGTGAAAACAGGTTTTTAGAAATGTTTGCATATTTATTTGCATATTTAAGAAATGGGAGAAACTCCCCAAATACAGACGTGCCAAGCTTGTAGCGTCATACCCAAGAAGACTTGAGGCTGTAATCGCTGCCAAAGGTGCTTCAACAAAGTACTAAGTGAAGGGTCTGAATACTTATGTAAATGTAACATTTCCGTTTTTTTTTTTTTTTTCTTAATAAATTAGCAAACATTTATAAAAACCTGTTTTTGCTTTGTCATTGTGTGTAGATTGATTAGGGAAAAAAACTAATCAATTTTAGAATAAGGCTGTAACCTAACAAAATGTGGAAAAAGTCAAGGGATCTGAATACTTTCCAAAGGCACTGTATACTAGGGTTGAGGTTAGTGCATCTGACTAGTGATTATTTGTTTTTTCTCCCCAATTTTGTGATATCCAATTGGTAGTTACAGACTCGGGAGAGGCGAAGGTCGAGAGACACGCTGCTCGCTTAACCCGGGAAGCCAGCCCACCAATGTGTCAGAGGAAACACTGTACAGCTGGCGACCGGCCCGCCACAAGGAGTCGTTAGATCGCGATGGGACAAGGACATGCCGGCCAAACCCTCCCCTAACCCGGACGATGCTAGGCCAATTGTGCGCCGCCTCATGGGTCTCCCGGTCGCGGCCGGCTGCGACACAGCCCGGGATTGAACCCGGGTCTGTAGTGACGCCTCTAGCACTGCAATGCAGTGCCTTAGACCGCTGCGCCACTCGAGAGGCCCCTGACTAGTGATTTTTTGGCTCTCCCAAAAGCAACACAGGCCTAATAATATATATATATATATATATATATATATATATATATATATATAACTGTAAAGTAATGAGTAACCATTTTAGAAAATCATGGGACATAGTCTTTGGTTGCATGTTATTTTATGTCAATCATATTGCTGCTATAGCCTATAACTGATGCTTCATGGTCTTATGCTGCCATCTATTATAAATATTTAGCAATTAAAAGTTATTAATTCACATAAAGACATTGGTGAGGCAGCTGAGAAATAAAGTGTATTTTTCTTATTAATTCCTGAGATCAGTCTCAAACCTGTCGCACCTATCCCACGCCAATTGCTGGACTTTTAAATAGAGGTTACTAGGTCAAACCCAGTTCAAACCACATTAAAAAATAATATTAATAATGTGGCTTATTTATCAAGTGTTCTGACTTTCCATAATAAATATCATAAAATAACTAATAAAAATAAGAAAAAAACTGCAAAATGCTTACATAGGTTTTGATGTAAAGAAATAATCAAAATGCTATTTAGCACTATAAATGGTATTTAGTAACATAATATATAACTAAAATAGTTTCTACAAGTTTTAGGCTACCCTACCCTAAAATTAGGGTTAGGGTTTGGCCTAAAATAGGTTATGCGTAGGTTTAGGGTTTTTAAGGCAAAAAACGGTATGCGTTTATAGCCCTCTTGCTCCTCCCTGTGGCCTTCTGCGGGTACTACATACCTCATTCGCGACACTTGCTAGGCTCATAATCTGAGGTAACGACTGCGTCAGATCTACAAATCAATCAGCTAGACCTATCCATTTAGTTTGCAACTCAGTGAACCTGCGCAGCATTCGATCAATTCCATGCCCACGAACGAACAGATTTCGACGCATATCAAATTACCCAGCAGCCATTTAGAAACAAATCGTCAAAAAAAAAAAAGTTCTCTTTTCACTACAAAATGTCTTCCGGCTGTTTAAATTGGCCACATCTTGAAAAAGAGGACAGGGACATGCATTTTGTTTAGGTTTTACACCTTTTTCTGAAAATAAATATGGTTAACCTTGACCAGAAAATGTTTAACGTTTGATGGCTATGCGCCAGACATCGCTAGCACTGTGGGTCACCACAACGTGTACCCAGGCGAACAGTGAGCTTGCGCACAAAGTAGCCATAACCTTGTTAATAATAAGTTACCTGAGGTAAGTATACAGGGTTAACGCCAGCAGGTCTCATTGCCAACAATAGCGAAGCTGACATTGTGATGCAGAACAATGGGCTGGGAATAGAACGTTTGGAAGCTGAGTTAGTGCCACAGTGCTCAATAGAACTAATAGGAGCTGGCAGGGTGAAAAACGCCCTAAAATAAGGTCAATTTTTTTCAAGAACACTTCACAACTACGGCCGTTGTCGCCCCACCCCTTCTTCTGTAGGGTTTATCTGCAGATGGAATCCAACATTATTGTGCATTAACGCCACCTAATGTACTGGAGCATCCCCGCCTCCCGCTAACCTAAAAATGTACTAATATAAGTATAAAGAGGGGTTCCTGCAGATGCGGTAATGCCCACATACAGGAACGCCCCGAATTACGGGTCGCAATTGCACCCTTCTCCAAGCTAGCTGCTGTGGTAGACAGAGCACAAAACGCGTATTCTACCACAGCAGAGTTATAGGTGCCGGTTTGGAGAAAAAGTCGGATCAGACGGTTTCTATACAGATATCCACACGTTATACTATCCTGACCGACGGACAAGGAGTTACGGATTATAGATTAGCTTTCAATAACAAGATTTTCGTAAACAAGTACCTCCCCCCCAAAAAATACATTTTGCCAGTTATTTTTCGGCCTCTGCATTATAATCACCCAGGACGCCCATGCGCGGCGTCCTTTATAGGGCTATTAACTAGCTAGCTACACAGAAACAAGTCAATGTGAAATATATATCTGGAGTGATTCATTGAAAGCCAATTAACCACTTCAGAGTAATACATGTTCTTATAACTGATATCTTTCAGCATTACGTGATCGCGTGCTGGATTATTTCTTGAAAGTTTCCTCCTCGAGTAGCAAATACCAAATGCCCATTCATTTGTTTAGCCAATAGCAGCGCGTGATATGTAATTTTTCACCAATCAATGTTCAATGAAGGCGGTCCCAAAAACAAAAAACTAAACTCCTCGTGCACAGTACTCTCAGGTTCTTACCTGTTCGTTTAGAACTTCACCAGACATCTCCCCGCAAACATAAACTGCCCAGCGATGTTATCAAAATGGTCTTCAAAATCATTCAAATATATATGCTGTTATCATAACGAAATAGTAAATTAATGTAAAGTTCCAGTCCACCTTGGATCAGTGACCTCGACGACAATGTCACTTCCGTCAGAGTAAAAATGAGGCGGGGCGAGTGTAGTTATGTGGCGCGTTCAAGGGAGTCTGACTATGCAGGCAGCGCTGCTCAGTCTGTCTGTCCGTCTGTCCGTCCGTTTGTTTCTTTGCCTCGCCATAGTTGAGAGACCCAAGGCATAGGCCTACTTTTCTTACTGATAGCATGGCATATAGTTCATAACTAGTGCAGCTATATAAAAGGCATATTGCCCCATAATATTTACACATGGACAATGGTTTCTCTGCTAATAGTAATATACTGTATTGAACATTAACTACTTATTTCAATTGACAGTCTTGTGTAAACACATTTATTTGTAGAATGAACGTTTTGTTTATTGTAATGGCCAAACCTGGGAAATAAAATGATGGCTGATGGGTTGCAAGTGCACTTAGCTAATAAGTCTGTGTTATTTGGATTCAATGCACTTTGGGGGAATCATGGCGGAAGTGGATGTGGAGAGTGAAACGAGAAGCGAGTTGAGTGGAGTTGGAGAAGATGAATGGAAAATAGTAGTGTTGAAGAATGGAATTATTGGGGATTTATTATTCTCCTAAACTGATGGGATGACTAACTTAGAAAGAATGCATTCTTGACTGGGCTAATGTAGGCTGTGACACCTGGCAAGGCTGTGATTGATGTGAAGAGCTGTCTTAGTGGGTAAAATAAGATAAGGATTGTATCTTCAAATGCTAGACTATACTGGTTCTTTGTGAGCTGTGAGTCTTCCTTTGACATAGGAATGATGTCTAAGGGAGCTGGCTCTTCTCACTATGATAGGTTGTTATGATAATCTTGTGCCTGGCTGAAGTGTGTAACAAATGGCGCCGAAGAGATGAGAACAACCCCTGAATCAACGGATTGGCTGAGAAAGTTTAAACCACGCTCAAGTCTTTACTCTAATTGGCCAGCAGAGAAGTGGGAAACTTCCTCTGTCAGAGTATTTGGGTATTGTTTCTGGAACAATGTGTTAGTTGTCTGGGGTGTTCTGCGAGACATCTCAGAGAGCCCGTATATACGAAACATCATATTTACCATTGAAGGTTTTTGCATTAATTAAAATAACTAGTATACCTTAGAAGTCGTGTTGACCTCTTTTGTTCCTGATACCAGATTTGAATTGACGCGACTTTGACAGAATGAAAAGAATAAAGTGTTGAAAACTGAAGGGGATGATAAGTGTATGTCAGACAAGGATTTGTTTCTTGTTTGGATGTGATTTTTGGATAATGATGTTTATCTGGGAGATCCGTTTGGGGGTTTCGAGGAAGGTGAATCTTGTGCTGGTAAAAATGGGATCCATCAGCGTGAGCAGGAGTGGGCTTGTCCTGATTAATAGTGTATCTGACGAACAGAGGAAGATGGCAGTGCCTACTGGGCACAGACATTAATTCAACATCTATTCCACATTAGTTCAACATCATTTCATTGAAATGACGTGGAAACAATGTTGATTCAACCACTGTGTGGGCATCACAAGAGTTATGTAGTGCTTCGAACTCCGGAGTAGGGCACCTGTTAAGGGAGTCATCTCTGGGGTGTCATTGGATATCCTTGCGACAAGAATCCCAGGTGTGGATAGCGCCCCCCCCCCCCCCCCCCCCCTGTTTTATAGTTAATCTCATGCTATTTTACACATTTTACCATGAGGCTGAGAGAAGATTAGCAGTTTTAAAACGAATTTCCTGTAATTTAATTTAATTTTAATCATGGCTTATGACGTGTTCATATGCTATCTGGGGGGCCCGACCTCCAGGCACCCCATGGCCGTGTTGCAATGTGGTGGAGATCATGACCCAGTGTTCATGGATTGCCCTGTAAAGGCATTCGCATACATAGAGCTGGTTTGCTCCTAAAATAACTTGGCTAAGTGAAGCGAACATCTGTGCTCGCATACTCCCTAAAGACCTTTGCTTGAAAAACAAGAAAAAAACGGCAATATTACTGTTGTTTGAGCTACCGTAACAACAACATAGCCATAACACTTCCTCAAAATAGTCAGAATTTATCTAAGAAAAATCAAGAAATCTGTAATAAATTGACGTTTTTGCCGAGGAGGTCTTAGTCAAGCATTTTCAGATCTAACTAAGATGTTTGGAGCAGTTTTTCTCAAGTGAAGAAATCAGCATAAAAACTAGTCGTCTCTTGTTGAATGACAACAAGCACTTCACTGAAGAATCCCGTCCATAGTTTACTACTACTAGGATTAGTACTGTTGACCAATCACCAACGAAGGGGCGTAGACTTCGGCAACCAAACTTCGACTTGCCTCAAGAAAAATTTTTGTGTGCAGGAACAGCCAAAAGTGTGAACAATAACTTTAAAAAATGTCAGCATAATATATGCGCAAACTGTTTCGACTGGGAAGCATGCGACAGGCTTAAGAAGGTAAGAGGTTGATGTGGCAAAAGTTAGGGCGGTACATCAGATTTCAGAAGATGTGATGCCCTCCCAGGCTCCCGGATAATTGATTCTAACAGATGAAGGAGGGAGCATTTTGATGGATGATTTTTTGGTAGTTAATATGAGTTGTAGTTTTTTTTTCACATTATATATTTTTCATTAAAAAAAAATCATCCTGCACAGTAGGCGACGGCAATACAACTTTTTGGATGTAGTCCGCTGTAAAACCCCAACGAAGAAGAAGATTCAATCAAAGACAGAAGGGGAAACCTAGACACGTCACATGGACTATAAAGCTTATGCGTCTGTTTAGAACGTTTTCTCGGCACAGAGCTGGAGATGGAGTTACGTCGGGATGCCACTGCTAGCAAAGCCGGGAGAAGAGGAATATTGGAACAGGGACATGGAAAGGTGGATTTCGGAGGAGGAATGGAGGAGGAAAAAGAGGAAGAAGAGGTCAAAGAGAATGAGGAAAACAGGTTGAATCTGAATTTGATGAAAATGGTGATAAAAAGGGAGATGGTGTGTCGAAGAAGACTGGGTCAAGTACAAAAAGAGTAAGATGTCCGCCAGACCGAGTTCTGGAGGTGAAATGGAAGTGAATGAGGGAGATTTAAGTGCGGTGGAAGGTGTGGTGAGGAGCTCGGAGCCCAAGCCTTGCATCGATGGACATGGTTATGACAAAGATGAGTTTGGCCCAGTGGGAGTGAGATTCTTGGAGAAAGTGGATCCAGGCCTTTTGGCTGATCCATATGTGGTATCAGGTTGGGTGGAAAAGATGTTGGGTACTGTTAAATGTGTGAAGGTAACCCGAAGTGGACTTGTGATGTTTGTTTCTGTTTCTTCCACCCAGTGGGGGCGGGCACTCTGTGCCACGCAACTCGGGTCAAGATCATTTAAAGGAGTGATTTCTGGGGTAGTGTTAAGTGTGAAGGTGGAGCAGTTGAAGTTTAAGATTCCTGGTATTTGTAATGCCCATCATTTGGTGCGACACAGACCCAGTGGGGAGTGTAGTGAAACAGAGGTGTCAGTCTGTCCTTTTGAGTTTTTATTCTTTATCTAACAAAGTCATGTTAGCATGTATAAGTTACGCTGTTAGAGCTTTTGTGCCGAATCCACTGCGGTGTTTCAGGTGCCAAGATTATGGTCATGTGGCAGCAGTGTGTAGGAGGAGGATTCCAAAATGTGGGAAGTGTGCAGGAGGGCATGGGACAGAGGATTGTGTAGTTTCGGTGGGAAAAGTTGTGTCAACTGTAGGGGTAACCATGTTGCTGGGGCTCGAAAGTGTCCGGTGCAAGAGAGGCAGGTTGAGGTGGCCATGGTCAGAAGTGAATAAGGTGTCTTATGCTGAGGCAATCAAGAAAGTAGAGGAGGATGGCTCAAGGGTTAGGGATCCTGAGAGGATCCCTGTGAGTAGTAGATCTGTGCCAGCACAGAGGGAAAGGCCAACAAGTGATATATGCTTCTGTACTTGGGTGTACGAGATTGAGTTCACAAGAGTTACAGAGTGTGTTGAGTGGTGGTGTCCTGTCCTCCGAGGCCGTTGGCGTGGTTCAGGAGCAGATAGGGTAAAAGTAATGGGATGGAGTAGTGTGTTTTTTAATGACTGTAGGGTTACTTGGAAGGTTCTTCCATTTTGTATCACAAAGTGTAATGGATGTATACTATAGTCCAGTTGGGGACGGTAATGCAACATATTGGATGCCAACCGCCATTAAAGCCCACCGAAGAAGAATAATGTTTTCTTACCACCAAATATGGTAGTGAGAGGAAGTCCAGTCGTGGGTTGTGGGAAAGGATGGAACTAGGTAAAACTGGGCCGACATCCTGCACAACATTTACTCAGCGATGAAACATCTGATCTCAATACATTTTTCTGTTCCCAAAACTAGAATCTGTTACGAACACACTGCACTAAGTGTTATAGACCTGACGCTTTGCCAAAGAAGGAGTTCAAGGTCGAATTGAGTTTGTGCACACAGAATTCACAGAGGAGGCGTTCCCTAATGGAAATATGCAAATACATGCTACAATGAGCCAATAGGATCTCGCTAGCTCGTGCTGGGCTTTGCCCACCTCCTTGCTTGTTCTGCCCACTATGTTTCATTTGCTCCCACTGTACACGACACAGATTAACCATCTTGGGTTAGTTATAAATATCTTTAATTCAATGCACTCTTTTGAATGAGTTCTGCTTGCTGCTGATGGTAAATAGGGCTCCAACGAGGGGTTCCGGAAGTGGATTCTCGAACCTCGTTACCGGTGGTGATTTCAAATATTAGCGATAGCATATTACTGTGCAACGTAGACATTCTATCTTCTCCCGAGATTGCAAAAACAATTTGCATGTTAATGTAGTGGTAGTGCCCATCAGTTATGAACGTTTCGACCTCTGTGTTGAGAAGTCGTGTTTTATACGGTTAGTTTCTGGTATCAAAGAGCACCATAAACGACACTAACAATAAGCCCGTTTCTGCATCCTGAGAAACTGACCTTGGGACTGTTCTAACCATTCTCACGTGACCAACAAGTTACCATGGAACTACCGCCAGAGTTTGGAGTTATGTTTTGAAGCCAGATGATGAGACTGAGTTGT